AATAAAAGTTTTCTAAAATCCTTCTTCCAGTTTTTTTTACCTTTTTCCATAAATAAATTGTTCGTACGTGGTTAATTTATTATTATTATTATTATCATTTCAAAAACTCGAGTCTATAATAGTCTAACTTAACACTTTTTAACCATAACTTTTTTTTTTTTTTTTGTTCTCCAACGTCTAAACTTGTCTCACGAGACCAATATCGTATCATTTTCTTTTGTCGGCTGCTTTTTAACTTTTTTTTTTTCGTAAAAATATACATTTATATTTCACGCAAGGCAAAACGGAAATAATATGTGAACAAATGTATTTTTAAAATTTTATCCAATTCGTATTTATTTAAAAAAAAAAAAAAATGTCGTCGTCGTTTCGTGCCATTGACTTGAACTTAAGTCTTCAAGGTAATCATCGGGAAAATGTACAAAGGGGGGGGAGGGGGAAAACAATTCACACGTTATACTAACTTCTTTGTGACCTGTTAACAAACAAAACCGGACGGCAAATGTACAATCCACACAACAAACAAACAAACAAAATGAATGGATTCAATTGAGAGAAGAATGAATTAATTTTAATACAAAACGTAATTTTTTTTTTTTTTTTCGTACAAAAGAATCTTTTATTTTAGCTTCTTCTTCTTTTTGTAAAATAATAACACATAATAATAATAATTTTATTTCAATCTTTCAAAATGTCGGCGGTGTACAAAAAGTTTTTTTTTTTTTTTTTCGGCGGGAAAAAATTTTCGAATAAATGACTATTATCGAACCCGCGCGTGTTGAACAAAAACAAACAAACAAACAAACAAACCTTTCCTCGTCATCGTAAAAAATCAATTTATAGTTGTAAATAAATATCAATTACGATATATAAAAAAAAAAACGAGATTTTTGTCAAAGGTTAAAAAATGATTAAAATTAATTTTATATAATAATTCGTCGTGATTCAAACGTTTTATTATTATTATTATTATTATTATCCAGCATTAAACACGACAAGGCTACTTGTCGGAGTTTTTAAGTATTTATCCGAGGTTTCTACCCGATTCCTTAGGGACAAATACTCGAATTTCGGTGGTGCCACTTATTATAAGATAGCACCACATCAATTCTTGAAGGTCTTCCTGAGTCCGTCTTTTTCGATGGGAACGATTTGTCTCCTGAACTGGGCTCCGGTGACTAACATCTTTGGAGTGGCCAGGGTCAGAAGCAGTGAAATTCACGTTCTCGTCGAGCTGCCTCAGGTCGACAGTAGAACAAGATTTTGTTTTTGGTTCTTACTTTGTCTTGTTCTCATTTTTTTGCTCTTTTTAAGCCAACAGCACGTGGCGTTCTCAAACGGTCACCCATCCAAGTTTGCACCACGCCCGATGCTGCTTAACTTCGGTGATCGTACGGGAACCGGTGTGACCAGCACGCTATGGCCGTTGGCTTATTATTATTATTATTATTATTATTATTATTATTATTATTGCAAATTTCACCCCCCCTTTTTTATTATTATTATTTATAAGGATAAATAAAAAAATTATATACGATTATATGAAATTTTAAATTTGTGTTAATAAATTCTACTGCCACGTTTTTGTAATAATTCACACACGTGTGTGTGTCGAACTTTAGATTTTCTTACACTATGACCAAATGATTTTTTTTTGATGATGTTGAGCTTTAAAAAATTTATTAATATTATTATTATTATTATTATTATTATTATTTAAATGGTTGGTAGCAATTAACGTTTAAAATTTTTTACGAAAAAAAAATATAAAATTAAAAAAAGATGCTCCATTTTTTTTTTTTCGGGCATATAATATAACAATCAATTGAAGAGGCGTTAAAGTTTGTTTGTATGTTTGTTGTTGTTGTTGTTAGACAAGTGGTGGGTTGATTGTTTTAAATTCAAAAAAAAGAAATTTGACGTTTCATTTCCTCTGAAAATGAAGCATGACAACTAGTATGATGTACCTTAACCTTAAATAATAATTTTTAACCCGGTTGTTGATTGTTTTAGTATTTTTATTACCTTAAAAAAAAAAAAAAAACTTTTTTTGTAGAAATTTTTATTGTGTCACGTGACCGTAAAACAAAAATTACTTTTTTTTATTCGCATAATTTTAATAGTTATGATGATGATGATGACGATTACAAAGAAAAATCGACCGTTACGTATAAAAAAAAAAAATTTTTTTCGGGGCCCTAACAAACAACGCACACGCATAAAAAATTTTTTTTCGTAATACATCAGACGAAGGAATATAATCCGGGTCAAATGTTTACAAACGTTTTTAACATGTAATAAATTTTAAAAGCTGAATTAAATTCATTGAAAAAAGAAATAAGAGATCTGACTGGAATGAGCTGATGTGCGTCGCGCCACTAGTTAGCGCAATTAAATTACCAACATTTGAAAAAAAAAAAAAAACTTTTTTTTTTTTTTTTAAATGTTGTCATGAGTTTTACCATAGAATATATCGAAATCCGTGCAATTAAATTTTTTTTATCTTTTTTCTTCTCATTTAAATTCTTAAAAAATCGAAAAAAAAAAAAATTTTTTTTTTATTTTTTCTTCTTGTTGCTATAAATTTATAACCGGTCAATAAACTTGCTATAAAATAGATAGACGTATCTTGATTGGCGATACAACAACAACAAAAAAAGATTAACAACAACAATTTCTTTTTTTTTTACAATAGTAAAAATAAATTATTTGTTGTTGTTAGAAAGAAAACAACAACAACAACAATGCAATTATTTAGCCTTGAGGTGATATTGGCTGATCTAAAAGCTGTCATCGCTTTTATATATATGTGTATACGAATTTTTTTTTTACTCTCGTTTAAACCGAAAATGAAATGTTAAAGTTCAAAAGGTCAATCCCTACGCAAGAGACGACGTAAAATAAATAAATAAAATTGGAAAACCAATTTATTGCAATGCCAATATGCCGATGAAATGTTTGATTTTTTTTTTTCTTTTTTTTAGACAGATACTACCCATTATGTTCAGGTACGAAAATATTTTATGCGTTTTAAAAGTACGCACAAACGCACACACGCACGAACACGCGTGGGTTACCATATGTATTGAAAGAAAGAAAAGAGGAAAAGGATGTTTAATCGCGTAACGTTTTTTTCAATGAAATAAAAAAAGACTTTTCTTATTATTATTATTATTATTATTAAAAAAATATTTTTTACGCGTATATCGAATCGTTATCGATATATCGAAATGTTTAATCTCACGAATTTTGAACAGGATTAAAAAAAATTATGTTTTCGATCGGCGTAGAATCAGACGTTTTGAAAAAAAAAAAAAAAAAAAAAAACGTGTGTTGGCCACACAAAATATCGTGAGCTATTACTTGTAAAATTTTGAATCCATTTGTACCTTAAGGCGGGGGGACACCACCCCCACCCCCACCGCCGCCGCCGTTAGAAGGTTCCACTTCCGCATGTATGCGTGTGCGTTGTCAAAAATCGTGACTTAATATCTCGAACAAAAAAACTAACCGAACGTTTTATCTTTTTTAATAAATTGACCGTTTATTTAATTTCCATTTCCTTTTTTCTCTCGCTCGCTCTCTCTCTCTCTCTCTCTATTTTTGGAACTTTAATTTTTCCAAAAATTTATCAAGAAAACCTTAAAAAAAAAAAAATGGTCACGATGTGTTTTTTTTTATTTGTTTTTAACCGTTACATTCGAACGTTAACGGTTAGGCATAACGTTTTTTTTTTTTTCTTCTTTTTTTTATTCACCGCGCCAACCTTTTGATCAATTAAAAACGACAACGAGAATTTATTATTATTATTATTATTATTATTATTATTATTATTATTATTATTATTATTATTATCATTGTTATCGTAGTTGTGAAATCGTGTCACGGTAATAAAAAATATAATAAATTTTTTTTTTTGTTTAATTCAAATAAATTTTAAGTGAATTATTAATATTATTATTATTATTATTATTATTATTATTATTATTATTTGACCAGACGACATATTAAATCAATAAAATTAATTTTTTTTTTTTTCGTTTTGTGTGTCACCAATAAAATTATGTTATATCATTATTATTATTATTAACTTCGCATCGAATTTTTTTTTTTTTTTTTTACAATTAATTTGTTACGGTATACAAAAAAAAAAAACAAAGACGTGGATATAACCGAACGTATAAAAAAAATTTATTTGACACGTGACGGCATGTGTTGTGTTGTTGGTACGACTGTTTCGTGTAAAAATTTTCTTTTCTTTTTTTTTTTTTTATTTATTTGTCATTCGAAGAAGTATTTAATTGCGCAAATAATTATTTATTTACTAATAATAATAATAATAATAATAAATTAATCGTACGTGAATAATGCGAATGAATTCTCACGTTTATTATTATTATTATTATTATTATTATTATTATTATTATTATTATTATCATCATCATCATTATTTTTTTTTCATTCCCTTTTTTTTTAAAACACGCACTTTAAAAAATAAATAAATAACTATTAAAAATTTTATTATTTATTTACACGTAGTTTCACCACTCGCTCACTCACTCACGCACGCGTATACGTGCGTTTTATTATTATTATTATTATTATCATCATTATTTTTAAATTAAACTTCCGGGAATAAAAAATACAAAAATTTGTTTTTTTTTTTTTTA